CCATGTCCCTGTGAGGGGAAGGGCTGGAGGAGCCTCTTAGCACAATTCTTATATCCCTCACTGCAGAGATAAGGAGGGAGACAACACTCCCTCTCCCAGCCCACCCTGTCCTGTCAGGTAGATGCCTTTTGGCAGATGCTTCCTTCTCACAAACCTGACCTCAGCCAAGGGGCTGGGAGAGGATCATGAAGAGCTGATTGCAGTGCTTAAAGCGGGAAGGGTCACAAGAGGGGTCCCAGACCTGTCCCCTCCCCCCCCCCAAAAAAACCCCAACCCTAATCTGAGCAGGATTGCTGAGGGCTGCTCTTTAAGCACTGTCTTACTTACACACACACACACACACTTTTTTCAGTTCTCTAAGCACTGGCCGATTGGACCTTTGACTGCCCTGCAGTATATTGCATATGGAGCTACTAGTGAAGAGGCAGCAGCATTTCAGCTCTTTGGTGGGATGTGATCCCTGAATACACATGGTCTAGAACCTATCTCTCAACCTCCTTTGGGGTCTGGGCAAAGATGCTCCAAAACACACAAAGGGGGGCCATATGTTTTTCCTCTGCAATAACTTTATTCTGACAGGTAAATGTTTTACATTGAGGGCACCCCTAGTCTACGACACCATGGGCCATGCCTAATTCTCATTGCCACCAAGAAATGCACACAGATTGGATCTCACAGCAATGACAGGAAGGGCTGGCTTGCTGCCTGGGTGTGCCCGCTGGCAGAACCAACCCACGTGGGCTTCCCAGAGCCAGGGTGCACCACTAAGTCTTGCAGCCTGGAAGGAGGTTGCATGTTAGGCCTCCATAGACCACAGGGCTGCAGGTTGGGGGCCCCTCTGAATAGCTTCCACTCCTTGAGGACCCCACTGGACAGGGTGGACATGGGCCGAGGGAGTCCAGCTGCACCTGGCAAGCGCCTGCCCCATGATGAAAGCCCTGTGTCTGCTGCTCAGTTGGCAGTAGGGTTGGGCTGAGCACCGGATGCTGAACAGCGCCCCCTCCCCTGCCTGCTCATGCTCGCCGCTTCAGCCTCAGGGAGTTATCCAGGGAGACCAGCTGGTGCAGGAAGCCCCGGTTGGGGATGATGCCGCGGTGGTCCTTGACAGTCTTTATGGCTTCCACCAGGGTCATACGGTGGCGGATCATGAGGTAGGCGAGGACCAAGGTGGCCGAGCGGCTCACCCCGACAGCACAGTGGACGAGGATCCTTCCTGCGGAGAGAAGGGGAGCTGCGTCACAGAGGGGCTACAGCCCCAAGGCCCCACTGCCCGGGGTTAGGGAAATCCAGGAAACAGTCCTATAACAGTGCGGGTGAGATGGTCACTCCAGCGCAGGAGTTAGGATACAGGGCTAGATGGGACAGATGGTCACACAATGGCAGGGGAGGAGGGTTCCCTTGGAAAAAGTTGACTTTTCATTGAAAAATCAAAATCTGAATGATCTTGATTAAGAAATGCTGCTGTGGTGCCTCGTGGGAGCTGTAGTTTGAATGGTTCGTGCCTTCATTTTCCTCTCTAAGCTGGGTGGACCGGCCAGATGACATCTGCCAGGATGCACTGTAGTGCGTCTTATAAGCATAACAGCACCACAATCTCTCATTTCGGGCAGGGGACGTGATGCATCATGGGAGTCCACAGCCATAGTGAATCATGGGAGATGATGTCTGGCTATGAAGCCCAGCTTCAACAAGGAGAATGGGAACATGAGGCCACTGAACTACAACCCCTATGAGGCTCTACTGCAGCATTTCCAATCAAAGTATTCCAGTGTATGGCTAAATAGTTCCGTTTTTGGTTGAAAATCAAAAACTTTCTGGTTTGTTTTTTTTCAGTGAAAAAACTAAGCATTGCATGGAAAGCAGATACTTCATGTTGTTTAGTCAAAAACTCAATCTTCCTTTGAACAACAGTTTTGAGAACAACATTTTCAACCTGCCCTACTCCACGGTCCCTATGAGCCAGACTCTGAGCTGCGCCTCCTGAGTGTGGGAGGCCAAAGATGCTTGTACCCCCTATGCACTTCCTGAATCCTGGTCTCGTCTGGGGACTTCAGATCCACCCCATCCTGCTCTAGATCCACCCCGCACCCTGGCATACCCTTATGCCAGGGGTTGCTTACACCGAACTCCCAGTGTTGTGAGAGGAAGGGATCCACCTCAGATCTGGCCTATTTGTTCCAGCAGGATGGCATGAAAGAGCCAGGCCATGGCCCACAATTGGGGCCTGGCTCTCTTCCAGAATGGTGGCTGCTGGGATACTGGGCTAGCTGAACCATTGCTCTAGTCTAGCGGATCCCGGTGTAGATGGAGGTAGCTCTATTCTGGTGCAGCAGGAGGCCAGATACTGAGCTAGAAGGATCATTGTGCTGGTCCAACATGGTGACCTTGGTGTTATGGTGGCAGTTTTGCAGACTCAAGAAGGTGGTTTGGGAGGTTTCTCTGAGCCAATCACATGGGGGAGGGCTATGGAGGTGGGAGTGAGGATCCCCATGTCTTGCTAATGGTATCTCCACTGCTTCCAGCACAGAACCATGGGTGGCGTGTTTATAAGGAAAGAAGGCGACTAGAGATGAGGGTGTTGGACACGGCCTTTCCTCTTGCCCAGCCAAGCTCCTCGTCCCAACCCCTGCTCCCTCTTCTCCAACCCCTCCTCTGCCCCTCACCTCCTCCCTCACTCAGCGCCTGGTGGATGAAGTCAGCTGAAGGGTGGAAGTAGGGACTCATGTCGAAGCTGGGCGAGTCGTGGGCCTCGATGCCAAGGTAGCGGATGCCGGTGCCCTCATAGTACTCAGCACCCCCTCTCCACTTGCTGTGCGAGGCATTGAGGATGTGGGTGATGCGCAGGCGGGCCAGCTCACGCCGATTGGCTGCTATATCTCTGCAGAGAAGGGAGCAAAGGGTTAAAATGGGGGAGCTTATGTGGCAGCAGCTGAGCGGGGAGTGCTTCTTGGCAGTGGACTGTGCAAGTATTATCTGCTAGAACTGGTACTAGGGAGGGGAGAGCTACTTGGACCAGGCCAGCATGGATTTTTGGCTTGGAGGGAACAGGCCAGAAGAAGGTGTAGGGCGGAAGGGGAGTCATCTGGTGGGTACACTAAAAAATAAAAAATCTGTCATTCCCCAGCTAGCAACACACATTTCTCTGGACTGGGAGTGGTTGGGTCATTACAAAACCTAAACCTAATTTCCCCCATACTAATTTCCCCGTACTGTTACTCACACCTTCTTGTCAATTGTTTGAAATGGGCCACTCTCATTACCACTACAAAAGTGATTTTTCCTCCCTTGGTATCCTACTGTTAATTGAATTGTCTTGTTAGACTGACCTCCCACTTGGCAAGGCAACTCTCATCTTTTCATGTGCTGTGTATTTATACCTGCTACTGTATTTTCCACTCCATGCATCTGATGAAGTGGGTTTTAGCCCACGAAAGCTTATGCCCAAATAAATTTGTTAGTTTCTAAGGTGCCACAAGGACTCCTCGTTGTTTTTGCTGATACAGACTAACACGGCTACCCCTCTGAGACACATTTGTCTCGGTCTCTCACCCCCAAGTGATTCTAGCCTGGGGCTCCCCACACAGCTCCTGCCAATCCTGGGCCTCAATCCTGATCCACAGCCCCCCTGCAATATTAGTCTGGGTTCCCCTTACCCCTTTACAGCTCTGCTAGTGCCCCTTAATCATGTACCCCTGGTTTCCCAAACCTCTTGAGAATAGAATCATAGAAATGTCAGGCTGGGAGGGATCTCAGAAATCATCGGGCAGGTCTACACTATCCACCGGATTGTCGGGTAATGATTGATTTATCAGGGGTCGATTTATCGTGTCTAGTCTAGACGCAATAAATCGATCCCCGAGTGCTCTCCCACTGACTCCGGTACTCCACCGCTGTGAGAGGCACAGGCGGAGTTGACGGGGGAGCGGCAGCAGTCGACTCAGCGCCATGACAATGGTAAGTGGACCTAAATACATATTCTCGTAGCTGAATTTGCATATTTTAGGTCGATCCCGCCCCAGTGTAGACCAGAGCATCTAGTCCAGCCCCCCATGCTGAGGCACGACCAAGTAAACCCAGACTATCGCTGACAGCTGTTTGTCTAACCTGTTCTTAAAAACCTCCAGTGACGGGGATTCCACCACCTCCCTAGATAACCTGTTCCAGAGCTTAACTGTCCTTAGAGCAGTGATACTCAGACCTCAGTGATTCAGGAGCCAAATTAGCGATCAACATTACCCAGAAGAGCCACAGTCGTGTGAATTCATTGTTTAATTTACTATATATCTCTTTTCTTGGATATTCTGACCAAGTATTATTATTATTTTATTAACGACAATTGGTTAATAACATAGTAAAAGCATCCTGATGAGTTAATAATTTAAACTGGTTATAATTAAATCATCCAGTGTTTTACCTTAGAGAAAGTTTTCCCTAACATACAACCTAAATCTCCCTTGCTGTAAACTAGGGTGTTTGCTGTGTCCAGTTTGTATGTGGTGGGTCTTTTCACATGGGCCCTCAGGGGCCATTTTTGAGTGCCACTATCCCATTTTTTACCCTCAGGGGCCATTTTTGAGTGCCACTATCCCAAATTGAAAGGACACACACACACACACACACACACACAGTTGCGCTGCAGTCTCCTCCTCCCCAGTCCATGCACCCTTCCACAACTATGCTACTGAGTCCCTTTCCCTCTTCCTTCCCATCCCCACCAATTCCCACTTCCCCTCATGACCTGGGGGCCTGTGCTCCCATCCCCTGGGCCTGTACTTACTGGTCTCCCAAGTAGAGTCCTGGCCAGACCTCATCTGCATGGTTACAGGCCGTCTTCCCCGTGTACAGCAGCCTCTCCAGCTCAAAGACACTGAGGATGGGGTGGTTGCTGGCGTCTTCCTGAGACCCCCGGCTGGGTGACCTGGAGCTGCTTCTGGAGAACCTGGACATAAAAGCCATTGGAGCTCCCGAGACCCACAATGCATCCCTGTGGGTGATGACGCTGCTGCTGCCGTCACCCACGGTCCCGTCCTGTAAGTAGTGGAGATGCCATTAGGTGACCCCGGCATGGGAGTATTGCCAAGCCCTTCCCCAAGTGACAAGCAATCAGCTCAAAGACTCCCCGCCTCCCTGACACACACACACACACACACACAAATCCAGCTGCTTCTTCCTGAGCGGGAGACCCAGGTCAAACAGCTTTGGGCTGAGACTCCCGGGTCCACTGGAACTGGGGTGAGTTGGTCGTGCATCAGAATACCTCAAAGCAGCCCTGCCGATCCTCCCGGCAACCTGGCTATGTGAACAACTAGCTGCAGGGGTAGAGCCTTCTCTGCCCAGGGGTTCCCAATGTCAGGAGGGGGCAGTACATCATCGGCTTCCCTCCTGGAAGGTGGCGCATTTGGGGAGAGTTTAATGGGGCCAGAACACTGTGAACCCAGCAAAGGAGGAAGTGGGGTCACCAAAGCCTTCAGCCCACTTGTGCACTCCCTTTCATGGCAAAGGGGCAACGTTCCAGCGCTTCTCTGCTGGATCAGTGCCACACTGGCAGGACCAGAGTACCCAGGGCTTTCTATTTATGGGATGACGGAGTAGCTCAGCTGCTGCCTTCCCTCTGAACTGGCTAGAGGGCATTGGCTGCCAGAGTCACGATGCCAACTCAAGAGCAGACTGTGCCAACCTAGGATTGGAGGAGCTGGCAGGCAGTGAAGATACTGGGTCTGGTGCCAGGCTCTGGGGCTGGGAGGAGAAGCAGGCAGAGGATTTCATATGGTATCACGTGGGGTCTCACTGGGCATCGTCCTGTCATGTACCAATAAAATCAGTCTAAGGGGAGGGAGAGGCTATCCTATCTATCTCATAGAACTGGAAGGGACCTTGAAAGGTCATCGAGTCCAGCCCCCTGCCTTCACTAGCAGGACCAAGTACTGATTTTTGCCCCAGATCCCTAAGTGGCCCTCTCAAGGATTGAACTTACAACCCTGGGTTTAGCAGGCCAATGCTCAAACCACTGAGCTATCCCTCCCCTCTCTTAACCTCTCTTGGTACAGCAACATCCCCGCTGCATTTGAAAAGCTTGGCGGCTGCTCTGGGTTTGGGGTGGGAGGCATTAATCGTAGGGCATGAGACTTTTATTGCTAAGCAATAGAACCCAAGAGGCCTGACTCCCAGTCCTATGGTCTAACCACTAGACCATGCTGCCTCCTTTCTCACACCTACAACAAGCCTCCCGGGACAGTCCCACCCATATGAAGATGTACCCAGCCTCAGTAACAAAGCATCAGCCCTGGGAACATTTTTTCTTCTTTGCTGCCTTCCTCCTCAGTGCAGCCAGCTGAATGCTGCTGCTGCTGTTGATGTGTTGCCTCAGCTGTTGCCTGGAGCTGCCTCCAAACATTTGGGAACCCGTCCAAAGTGTCACATCTCAGCTCTGTTCCCATCAGTGGCTCTGCACTGGCCAATTGTTTTCAGAGGCTAAAAGGGGAAATGGAGTGACCTCAGATTTGCCTTGCTGGCTTAGACCATCAGTTCAGTCGGTCTGGCACCCTGCCCTCAGCAAGGGCCAGCAGCCGGTGGTGCCGAAGGAAGAAAACCCCTAGACACTTACCTGATTGTGCACAGAGGTTGCAAACATCATGAGGGTACTGCAGAATTCAGAAGGAATCTAGAGAGACCTGCTAAGTACTTCCCTCCCTATTGATGTCTCCCAACAGTTTATTCCCTGCAGGGTATTTTGGATGCTGCCTTGAACATGGTTGTGCAGGGCATGGAATAGACTATTCTGGAGCCAGGGGTTCCCCGTCAGCCCTGGTACGACTGGGTGCAGCTGCCACAGATAGTAACAGGAGCTGCAGCAGCGTATACCATGGTCCAGAGTTGGCCCTATGTCTCCTGCACTCTGCTGAATGTTTGACCTGCTGGCTCTAGGAATAAATACCTGGTAAGCCTGTGGGCAGCACACCACAGCTGGGATCATCAACAGCACAATGCTGTGGGGTGTCTGCCCGCTCATGTTGCAGCAGGCCCTTCAGCCTGGGCCCATCCAAGCCTGGCCCATACCGTGCCCCTTAAAATAAGGCTACAAGCAGATCCATGGCTGGCTAAGGGTATGCCTACTGTAATTGGAGGTGTGATTGCAGTTCAGGTAGACATACCTGCACTAGCTTTAATCTAGCTAGCACGGCTAAAAATAGCAGCGAAGACTCGTCAACACAGACCCTGGTGCAGGCTGCACATGCAAGTAGATATCCAGAGTTCTGGGTGGGTTTGTTTACCTGCAAAACTGCCAACTCTCGTGAATCGATTGGGAGAGTCGCCATTTCTGAGTAGAGTGAAGCCTCATGAGCTTGTGATCTGGTGATAAAACTCTCAGATGTCAGAATTTTTTTTTTCCAGCCCCGCCACATTCTTAAAATGGGGTTTCCAGTCCAACAGGAGTTACCCCCACCTTAAACAAAGGAATGTGGTTTCTCCACTGGGCAGTTACTTCCAAAGTACTTTGAAAGACAACGAGAATTCATTTACATATCAGATAAACAAAGCCATCAAGCTATCAAGTAGGGGGAAGAGACAGCACGATTACACCCAGCAGGGAAGAGAAACTTCATCTGAGACATAAAGAAGGGGGGCAGGGCCAAATCTCAAATAAGCAATTGAATCACTGGGGAAAAAAAATCCCCACGTTTGACAGTTCTAAAAGTGAGGCTTAATTTTATTTAGAAATTCTGCCAGCAGCCCCAGGTGCAGCCAGGACTCCAGCTGTCAGCCCCAGGCGGCTGCTCCCCTGCCGGTCTGGTAAGTGGGAGAAGGAACCCCACTGCAGCCCCCCAGGCCTAGGGAGGGTGAAGAACCCTAAGGAGCAGAGATGAGGCTGGGGGCTGCGGGGGGGCTGAAGTGAGGAGGGTGGGTGGGCTGATGGGGTGGGGGGGCCTGTATTGATGGTGGAGTCTGAGCAGATGGGGTGGTGCTGGGAGGGTGAACTGAAGGCAGTGGGGGTCCATAGGGCAGGGGGGTGGAGATGATGGGGTGGAGATGATGGGGGCTTGGGGCTGAATTGAGTGGGGTTGGGTGGGGACAGAACTGATGGGAGACTGGGGGACAAGATTAATTGCTGGGCAGGAGATAAGCAGATGTGGGGGTAAGAGTTCCTGCAGCAGGGGCCAAAATCACCTTATCCAGTACACGGGGGAGAGTGGGTGACACTAATGGTCACATGCACATGCCTGATGATGGACAGGGGGAATTCAAACATCAAGAGACTGATTTAAAAAAAACATCTTTTTAAAAAATGTCATGATTTTTGGGCCAATCTCATGATTTTGGTGGGCCCGGCTCCTGATTTTTGATCTCTGGAATTGGCAATACTGCACCTGTGCTGCTGCGTCTTCACTGCTAGTTTTAGCTGCGTTAGCTAGATTAAAGCTAGCAGGGGTATGCCTGCCTGAGCTGCAAACCCACCTTTGATTGCAGTGGAGACAAGCCTAAGAATCTGTGGGACAGATCCACTCTGGCATGAACCTCGATAGGCTTCACCCATGTATCTGACCCTCATCTTCTTCCTCCAACACCCACTGGGTGCTGATGTGCAGTGGGCTCTAGCTGGTAAATATCACCAATTGCTACCTGATATACAAGACGCAGAGCAAATTCCCAAAGCACCATTGCTACTTGGGAGATGTGGCCCATTCCTGTATTAAAACACAGGGTGAGTTACTGCATGCAGCGACTCTTGCTTACAGGTACATGGCTGCCTCTGCCACCCCTGCCATTCTCACGCTGCGCTGGGAGGGAGGAGAGAGACAGACAGACAGACAAACCCTGCCTACACACACGGCTGCTCTGCATAGACGTTATCGCACCCAGGCAGGCTGCCCAACCCCACACGCTCAGCAAAGAGACAGAAAGACAAACAAACGGGAGGCAGGAGGGAGACACCCACCCCGGTTACTCTACCTTTGTGCAGGCTGTGATTTCTCAGCTCAGGGTGAGTTTTCTAGTCAGATCCAGTCGGCCATGTCTTCCTACTACTGCAGCTCTTGCTGCCGCTGCCGCCGCTGCTGTAGGAAGGCTGATATATGAACATCTATTTTAAGCCATGACATGTCCAGAGGCAGGTTTGTTTATATCATAGTGTGTGTGGGTGGAGGGGCGGGGGAGGGAAAGCAGAGGGAGATTAACACAAACACAGAACATCCCGTGTTAACACACATGTGTAGGTGCATGCACACACACAGAGTCATACATATAAACACACACACACACACACACACACACACACACACACACACATATTCCTATGCATGGAAATACACATGCACAGCCACAAGAATATGCACGTGCATCCAAACACACACAAATTCTTCTCCATATCTCTGTGTTCACCCTCCCCCCATCCCCCACCACCACAATACAAGCTCGCTACAGGAAATAAAAAAGGAAAGAAAGACTATTCTACTGATGAAAAGCTCCATCTAAGAGCTAGTTATTATTATGAATAGTAATAATAATTGGGAATAGAGTCATAAGGTTTAAGGCCAGAAGGGACCGCCTGATCATCCAGTCTGACCTGTATTTCACGGACCACCAGTGCCACCCAGCACCCGCACACTAAACCCAACAACTGAAATGAGACCAAAGTATGACAGCCTGCAGGAGACAAGACTATGATGTGCTGCAGGCAGAGAATAGGAGGGACCAAGGTGCATAAGTGCCCCGAGTCCCCTGCAATGTCAGGAAATGGTTAAGTGAGATATACTCAGATAACTCAGCATGGATTCACCAAGAGCAAGTCATGCCTGACTAACCTAATTGCCTTCTATGAGGACATAACTGGCTCTGTGGATGAGGGGAAAGCAGTGGATGTGTTATTCCTTGACTTTAGCAAAGTTTTTGATATGGTCTCCCACAGTATTCTTGCCAGCAAGTTAAAGAAGTATGGGCTGGATGAACGGCCTATAAGGTGGATAGAAAGCTGGCTAGATCATCGGGCTCAATGGGTAGTGATCAATGGCTCCATGTCTAGTTGGCAGCCGGTATCAAGTGGAGTGCCCCAAGGGTCAGTCCTGGGACTGGTTTTGTTCAATATCTTCATTAATGACCTGGGGGATGGTGTGGACTGCACTCTCGGTAAGTTTGCAGATGACATTAACTGGGAGGAGTGGTAGATATGCTGGAGGGTAGGGATAGGATACAGAGGGACCTAGACAAATTAGAGGATTGGGCCAAAAGAAATCTGATGAGGTTCAACAAGGACCATTGCATAGTCCTGCACTTAGGACGGAAGAATCACATGCACTGCTACAGACTAGGGACCGAATGGCTAGGTAGCAGTTCTGCAGAAAAGGACCTAGGGGTTATAGTGGACGAGAGGCTGGATATAAGTCAACAGTGTGCCCTTGTTGCCAAGAAGGCTAACGGCATTTTGGGCTGTATAAGTAGGGGCATTGCCAGCAGATCAAGGAACATGATCATTCCCCTCTATTCAACACTGGTGAGGCCTCATCTGGAGTATTGTGTCCAGTTTTGGGCCCCACACTACAAGAAGGATGTGGAAAAATTGGAAAGAGGCCAGTGGAGGGCAACAAAAATGATTAGGGGGCTGGAGCACATGACTAATGAGGAGAGACTGAGGGAACTGGGATTATTTAGTCCTCAGAAGAGAAGAATGAGGGGAGATTTGATAGCTGCTTTCAACTACCTGAAGGGGAGTTCCAAAGAGGATGGATCTAGACTGTTCTCAGTGGTAGCAAATGACAGAACGAGGAGTAGTTGTCTCAAGTTGCAGTGGTTGGATATTAGGACAAACTTTTTCACTAGGAGGGTGGTGAAGCACTGGAATGGGTTACCTAGGGAGGTGATGGAATCTCCTTCCTTAGAGGTTTTTAAGGTCAGGCTTGACAAAGCCTTAGCTGGGACAGGGCTGCCCGGGGAGGTCCCTGTCCCTTCCAACCCTGATATTCTATGAACCCTGGCTCCCCCAGGCTGCAGAGGAAGGCAAAAACCCACTAAGCCACTGCCAACTTGATGTGGGGCAAAATTCCTTCACAACACCACCTATGGCGATCAGTTAGACCCTGAGCATGTGAGCAAGAACCAGCCAGCCAAGCACCTGAGAGAGAGAATGCTCAGTGCCACCTCAGAGCCCTGTCCCTCCCTGTCCTATGTCCCATCTCTAGCTGTGGTTATCCCTGATGCTTCAGAGCAAGGAGATTAAAAAAAACCAAACCCTCCAGATTACAGTAGGGGGCAACAAATCCCTTCCTGACCCCTGTAGGTGGCCAGTTTAAACCCTGAAGCATGAGCTTTTAGGAATGGTGCCTGAGAAATGATTGCCCAAAGAAAGAAGTCAGCACAGCTCCGACCATCTCATCCCAGGTGGTGCATCGTCCTTTCAGTTCACCTGAGAGAGCGGCTGCTGATAGCTCACAGAGACCTGGTGTGAGTCTTAGCTGTAGTAGCATGCAAGATGCATGTTGAATGTGGTCAAAGTGTGAGGGACTCATCTGCAAGTGGGGCCAGATTTCCCAATGAGCTCAGCACCCAGAAGCTCCTATTGTACCCTTCTGGGCAGATTTCCAACAGAGTTCAACAACCAATGTGCACCCAGTATAATGGGCTCTCCTGAAAGTCTTCCCCCTAGCTGGCCAATACAGCCCATCCCCATCTTCCTGGGTGACAGCAGGAGTTATTGGGTTGATACCCATTATTGGAGGGCTATGGGAAGGTAAACAGAGGCTGTGGGTACTCAAGGGCAAGTGAAAGCAAAAGTCACTGAGTGAACCTGAATGAAGGCAGCTTGGGCTACCATCTCCATCTTTTCTTTCTTCTCTTTCCTTGCCCATCTTTCAGTGGCACCCCAGAAAGTTGGTCTTTGCCTTTCACAAGAGGGTCTGGTACACTAGCATAAAACTAGAGAAACATAGCGGGGAACCAGACCCACCTTCCAGCTGGGTGGCCAGCACTGGCCAGGAGCTCAAGTTTGATGGTACCAAAGGTCCAAGATCAGGCTTGGCATTTCTGGTGCAAAGTCAGGGTTCCCTGACAGGGGTGCCAGTGCTGTTTTAACATCTCACTTTAAAACACAGTGATCACAGTGAGGACAGAAGGTTGCAAGGTGGGAGGAAGCTTGGCTCTGTGTCTGGAAGGATACCTTGGATAACCTCATGTAGTTCCACTGATTTCTATGGGAGACCACATGCACAAGGGCAAAAGTTTGGATCCAAGACGCTCCCAGGGAGCTGTGGGTT